CAGGGGTCGCAATCACATAGTTATGGGGGCTAGAGCATCGCGTTCGTGGTATGTCTTGTGCGTTCGCGTAGTAGGATTTGAGGCCCCTCAGCATTTGTGCTTCGTGTTCGCGGCACAAGGCTCGCGTTCGCGTAAGCTTAAGGGCCCAGACCTTCACGTTCGCGTGGCTGCAACCGCGTTCGCGAAGGGTATTTTTGGCAGAGGTGGATTTTGTTCATCGCGAACGTGAGAGGTCCCTCGCGTTCGCATAGAGGAAAATAAGCCTGGGCAGAAGGTTTTTATTAGACATTTCATCCGCGAACCAAGTCTCATTTCCACCATTTTTGATCGACCTTGAGAGCTCTTGGACGGAATTTGAAGGGGATTTCGACTAGGTGTGATTGGAGGTGAGTTCCTTGGCCTAAATACATGAATTAATGGTAGAATTTATATTGAAATTTGTGGAAATTCATCAAAAGAGGGTAAAGCTAGGGCTTGGGAATTTGGTATTTCAAAGTGGAATTTGAGGGGTCAAATGGACTCCGATTTTGGTAATTTTGATATGTATAGACTCGTGGCGAGATAAGGAATCCGGTGATTTTAATTTTCTGATTTTTCGAGAAGTGGGCTCGGGGCTCGGGTTTTGCTAATTTCGAGATTCCTGATATTTTTCTATTGTTTTCGATTGGGTATTGTCTCCTTAGCATATTGTGACGTATTCGTTGTGATTTTGATCAGATTTGACGCGCGAGGAGGTCGATTTGCGAGGCAAGGGCATAGCGAGCTAGGATTTTTGCCGGCTTGAGGTAAGTAAGATTGTAAATGCTGTTCTGAGGGTTTGAAACCCCGGATTACACATCGTTGTGTTACATGGAGGTAACTTACACGCTAGATAACGAGCGTGGGGTAGAGCACCGCTGGGGAATGTGACCTAGTCCTTTCCGATCGAGTACTTTAATGCGTATTTGATAGTTAATTGTTTGATGTCATTATATTTTAGGTTGTATGCCATGTTTGCGGCCTTGTGCCGACTTGTTGAGACCCTTAGGGGCATTTTTACTATCTATCCTCACTCTACTTGTTTGAAAGCATATTCTCAATCATGTTTTACCTGTTTATTACTCAAATCGAGCTTTATTGCTATATTCTTAAAAATGTGGAAACTGTTTTGGGTTGAGCTCCCTGTTTTACTGATGGTCCGAGCGATCGTGAGATGATGACTGAGATAGACCGAGGGTCTGATTGTGAGATTGATAATTGAGATAGACTGAGAGTCTGATGGTGAGGTTAATGACTGAGAGAGGCCGAGGGCCAGTTGTGAGGATTATATACCCATGGATCGGGCTGCACGCCGCAGCAATGTGTGTGTGTGTGTGTGTGTGTATATATATATATATATATATATATATATATATATATGTATATATATATGGATCGGGCTGCACGCCGCATCGATACTTATATGGATCGGGTTGCACGCCGCAGTGATACTTATATTGATCGGGCTGCACGCCGCATCAATATTGCGCTTGGGCTGTAGGAGCCCCTCCGGAGTCTGCACCCCCACAGTGAGCGCGGGTACCCATATGGATCGGGCTGCACGCCGCAGCGATATATAGATCGGGCTGCATGCCGCAGCGATATATGGATCGGGCTGCACGCCGCAGCGATATATGGACCGGGCTGCACGCCGCAGCGGTTACTATATGGTACCTATTGAGCGTGAATGCTGAGTACGAGTTCTGATTGGTAAGAGTTGAGTCACGAGTGATAGAGAGGCTAGCCCGAGGGGCGATAATTATATACATGCATATGAGTGATCTTTGCCTGAGAGGCCTGTTAATGAACTTGTTGATTTCACTCCCCTTTTTAGTGAGTTTCTATCGAATATGTTGATTTATCGACTGCTTTCACTCTTCTTTATATTGAGCCTCTGCCGGAAAGTTGAACAAATATTTTAAAACAACCTTTATTTAAATTGGGGTTTATAAGATGTTTAGAAATTAATCACTGATTTGGCATTTGGTTATTTCCAACGAGATTTTCAAGTTATGAAGTGTTTATGATTACCGTTTTGCCCGAGGGACTGTTTTACGAACTATGCTTTGTCCGAGGGCCGATTATGGCTTTAATCACTATTATTCTTTTAAATGGTATTGAACCCTACCGAAAATGCTGGAAGGTATTTCAAAATAATTTTTACTAAAAGTTAGATTTTAAAAGGGAAGGTTGATTCGTATTATGATTTGAAAGCCTGTTGTATTTATTGAGCCTAATGTGAATGTGGATTCATTGTTTCCTACTGCTCAGTCTTTCTTTACTCTTATTACTTACTGGGTTGGAGTACTCACTTTACTCCCTGCACCTCGCGTGCAGATGCAGGTATTTGTTCTCCCCGGTAGCGGGTTTTGAGCGGATCGGAGGCTTAGTTATCGGAGTTTAGCGAGGTGACTGCCAGCGTTCGCAGCACCACATTTCTTCCTTTTGTACATCAGTCCTGTTTTGTATATTTCAAACTTCGTAGTTGTATTCGTACTTTAATAGATGCTCGTTGTGACACCCCGGTTTGGGCTGTGTTTAGGCTTTATTCTGCACTTATAAAAGTGATCATTTGATAGACTGTGGTTATCTAGTCAAATTAAATATGCTTAGTAATGTTAACTATTTTGAAAAGATAAATTGGGTTAGTTGGCTGGCCTCGTCTTCGTGAGAGGCGCCATCACGACCGGGTTTGGGAATTGGGTCGTGACATATATTTATTTATATTTTATAAATTTTTTTAAATAAAAATATAATTATTAAAATTTATATAACTGGGTCCCATTTTAGCGACCAAAGTTGGTCGCTATCTGCTTACCCTTTAATTAGCGACCAACTTTGGTCGCTAATTTTAAATTATATTTATTTATATTTTATAATTTTTTAAATAATATTATAATAGTTGGTCGCTAATTTTAAATTATATTTATTTATATTTTATAATTTTTTAAATAATATTATAATAATTAAAATTTTATAAGTGAGCCCCCCTGTATCGACCAACGTTGGTCGCTAATCTCAGTATACCTTTGACCAAGCAAGTCTAATTAGCCCGGTCAACATTTTGACGAAATTAGCGACCAAGTAGCGACCAACCTTGGTCGCTAATTTATTTCAAATAATTATTTTATTATTTTCGCCAATTTAGCGACCAACTTTGGTCGTTTTTCGTGACAGACCAACTTTGGTCACTAAATTTTGGTCGCTTTTTTCCGGAATTCTAGCAGTGATACTACCGTTAAACCAACTTTAAGTAATAATATAAATAAATAAATTTTTTAAAATGAGAACAAAATTTGTTTGATGTAGAATAAATATGCCAGATCCAATAATTTAAATATACTATATGGTGATATTTGAAATCAAATGGTTAGGTCCAAAATAGTATTAGATATGGAAGGGAATCTTTGCGTGTATTGTTAGAGAGAAAGAACCCTTATTTATTTGAATTTTCATTCTTTGTATGTGCTCGGGCTTGGCTAAATTTTTTGGTATTGAACTCCAAAACTTATACAACAAAATAAATAATATATCTGCTCCCTTTTTTTTATTACTTTTTCCAGATTGTTCCTCCCTTCTTCCTCTCTTTATTTTTCAATATGTCCTATGGTTGAAAAAAACCATACTTATAGGAGTTTAAGTTATACAAGTGTATGCTATGTGCTACTTATATGCTTAGCTAATATCACGTGCTAGAATTTCTTTATCTATATTTTAGACGTCTTGCTCATAAGGTTCAATTCACATCGACGATATTCTTTATCACTTAGATATTTTACACGTAGAATTTAATATAATCTCAATTAAAAATCATGTCCATAGGTTTTGATTGCTCATTTAATTTCTCGTTTGATATCACAAATTTGTCCACCAAATGTAATAATGAATCTATCCATTTATAGTAAATATATGTAGTTTCTACAACATTAAGCTATAAATTAATTAATTGTTGTTTCAAAATAAAATGCACTATAAACTTCTATAACTGTAAATGTAATAATTTATGTTATGCTCATTAATATTTTTAATATTTCTCAAAATTTGAATATACTATATTTGGTTTTCTCTAGATTTCCTCTATTAAATAATTTACCGTATTTTATCATAATAAAGTACCCAACATAGAAAGTGGTAATCAAAATAATACTTTTTATTTTCTTACGACGAAACATGTAAGTTTCTAAAGTATTAAGTCTTTCCGCTATTTTACTTGCGGTAAAACTTACTCCATAAATAATATATTTAACAATATTATCGTTAGCTGTAGAAATTAATAAAATGGACCTTAAAATAAAATCTTATTTGAAACTGATAAATTAATAAGAAATCTGATAAATTAATAATAAAATCTATTGGATAGAATATAATACAATATTTTTAAGTTAATAAAACTTTAAGTTAGTCCCTATTAATCAAAATGTACCACTAAATTTATTGAGAAAAAGAGCAGTATAATAGTGCATAGTTATTTTCCTTTTGTTACAGGTACCAAAATTGGAGGGTAATATTGTCTTTTCGTTTAACTTTTTTTTTGGGCTTCACTTGGATTATATCGACCCTTCTTTCGCTTCTCTCTATCTCACTCTTCTTGTTCTTATCGTTACCAGGCAGACATATCTCTCAAAAACTTGGCAGATGGAGGTTCTGTGATCTTGTATTTCTCTGTTTCATCATTTATGGCATGCTAAGGCTTTGTTCTTTATGTGTTTGATTAAATTCTTGAATGAATCAGTTGGCTTGAGGTTTGGCATAGTCCTAGGAATTACTCTAACTAACGTTGCTACAGAGGTAGCTTACAAAATAAGACACCGCTCTGACGCGTGGGTGCTTATAATTATAATTATATAAATAACAACGGACTCGGTTGAATTTTATTTTTTACATTTACATAGAAAAAAGAAAAGAAAATTTGGCAATCAGGTAACCGGGTTTAGACGAAGGGGATCCATAACCCGAATGACCCGAATTGAAGAAAGAAAAGAGTGGAAACGGATAAACCAGCAAAATTGGTAGATAACACATTTCATCACCTCCAAAGGTTTTGCTCCTTCACTCAAACAATGGCTGCTTCCCCCTCGTCCTTCTCTTTCTTTTCTTCCTCCATTTTCCTCTCTAACCCCAACATCCAATCCTCAAAGCACCTCCTTTTCAGATCCCCCAAACAACTCTCTGTCGCTGCCATTGCCACCATCCGTTCAGAGGTCGCCACTATTCCAATTCTGTCCTTCGATGGTGCCGAGGTGGGCTCCACCACTCTCAATCTAAAATCTGCCCCTCTAGATACCGCACGCGCCGTCGTCCATCGTGGGCTCACCACCGACCTCCGCAACCAACGCCGCGGCACTGCCTCCACTCTCACACGCTCAGAAGTCCGGGGCGGTGGTATCAAACCTTACCCTCAAAAGAAAACGGGCCGAGCTCGCCGCGGTTCAAATCGAACTCCTTTGCGGCCCGGTGGTGGGGTTGTGTTTGGACCGAAGCCAAAGGACTGGTCAGTTAAAATCAACAAAAAGGAAAAGAGACTGGCCATTTCTACGGCGCTTTCAAGTGCTTCGGAGAATACTATCGTTGTAGAAGAGTTTAATGATAAATTTGAAAAGCCAAAGACTAAGGAATTTATTGAATTGATGAGGAGGTCGGGGTTTGGACCCTAAAGAGAAATCTTTTTTGATGACGGAGGTTTCAGACAATGTGATTCTGTCCAGCAGAAACATTGGGACTTTGAAAATGTTGACTCCAAGAAGGTTGAATCTGTTTGACATATTGGATTCTGAGAAGCTGGTTTTAACTAAATCGGCTGTGGATTTCTTGAATGAGCGGTATGGCGATGAAAATGAATGGGAGGATGAGGAAGGAGACGACCAAGATGGTTAGTTTGGAATCTGAAAATTTACTTTTAAGATCTCTTCTTTTTTCTGACTCGTTAATTTTGAATTCAGGTGGTGAGGCGGAGGAGAGCGCTGAGTAATTATAATGCCATTTTAGAGGAGGGTGTACGCAAATGGCAATGGCTTATCTTAAATCTTACAGGGAGGGAATTTGCATATTTCACTTTTAATTGTATGATAAAACTAGGGATTTTGGTTGATTCAAGCACCGTCAGTTGTGCATTTACCTTCTTTTTGTCCTAATTTTTGTTTCTTCCGGCAACTCAGTTTAACATTGTGTTCTTGACAACTCTCTTAATGATTGTTTGTGTCTTAATTGATACTCTGAATAGGCATGGAGAATTACTTTAACATTATAGTCCCTTCAATGGGTGTATGTGATCCACTACATTGCAACAACTTTGTGAGTTTCTGGCAAGCCTTTTTTTTTTTTTTTATCGAACATCTTGTTTGGATTGTTGTTATGTATCGTTTCATAATGTATCGTATACTGTCGCATTGTATTTTACTGTATCGTTTAATGTTGTTGTTATGTATCCAATTGTTTCGATCAAATAAAGCCACGGTAACTCTTTAATGTTGAGGCTGCTATGCACAGCACCAACCAAAAAAAATATTGATGCCAGAAATCCGTCAGAAGAAGAACATGATTAATACCAAGAGACACTTTAGGCTAGCTAATAGCGACTTTGAACAATTCGTTCAGCTCTTTCTCTTTGCCTATAGAATTATGATTAATGTTGTGCCCTTTCATATTGAGCCCAGCAAACAGATCTACATCTATAATTTTTTCTTTAACTCAGGAAAGAATCCAACTTGAGACTTTGCGTTTATATAAGCAGGCAGGGGTTAATCCTTTTGCTGCTAATTCTTCATTCTAGCAGTCAGCTCTCTCTCTTCTAATTATGCTTTTATTTGCTATTTCTTTTTATCATCTTAGTTGATTTAAAGCGTTGGGCATATATGTTAAAAAATTCTGAGTGCATAAAATAAGTATATGCATGTAACCTATAGGAAAGCGAGAATAATGTTTCATCAAAAATTATTTTTTTTCCTTTCTATGTTCTATATCAAGAATTCAAGATACTATCATACCCAAATAGCTATTTAGTAGCTTATACTGCTAAAACAACATCTTCTTCTACTCGTTCTAAACATCCTCTTCTACGTAAGTCAAATAACAAGACTTTGAGAATATCTATGGACTTTTACAGATTCAGCAGCTAATCGATGTGAACAAAAAAAATAAACTCTATTGAAATTTCTCTCCTTTTTGAGAAAAAGATACAAGGTATGGATGGTTTAGTTCAATTTGTACTGTCTAATTGAAAGCAAAAGCAGTTGTTAGCATTTTATTGTAGGTTTCCCGAACTAATTCACACTCGAGAAATTAAACCCAAAACAATAGTAGAAATCTAAAAAAAATTGCCTAATTCATTCAAGAATTGCCTCAAACACCTAAAGAGCAAAATCGACGGACAGATTAAACTCTCTCTGAGCAATAAAGCCCTAGCATGCCATAAAGATTAAATAGAGAAACATGAGCGAAGAAGAAGAGGAGGAAAACTCACAAGAAACAACGATCCAAACGGGAAAATTCACAAAAGTGCAAAGATAAGATCAGCAAAGCTTTTCTGATAATGGTGATACTGAATTTGCAATAAACTGGCTGTTAACCTTTTGATACAAACAACCTGCATCTGCCAAGTATCTCAAACAGTTGCCTGCCTGGTACCGATAAGAACAAGAAGAGTGAGAAGAGAGCAACGAAAGAAGAGCCTGTAGAGTGCGGTGATTGTCAGGTTTTGATCGATATAATCCAAGCGAAACATTAAAAATTAGATGAAAAGACAAAATTATCCTTGAAGTGTGAAGCAGGCATGTCGTCCAGCTGCCTGTTAGCTCCCTCTTATTAGATAGGAGAATCTTGAAAACAAGTAAACTTAATTCATAAAATGGGTAGGGGTGAGCGTCCGAGCAATTCAGATTGAATATGAAAATTTTTGTTTGGATATTCGGTTTTCAGATTATATAATTGACAATCCAAATAAGCTCGGATTGGATCGAATTTTTTAATTTGATTTTGGATTAATAGGTTTGGATATTTCGGATTTTCGGTTTTGAGCCTATAAATTTAGATGTTTCTTCTTATTACAAAAATAACATCCAAATAAAGTATGCATGTTAATTACCTAAAAAGCTCCTCATTCTCACTACAATTATCTAAATAAAGTAATTAAGTAATGAAATCATTATCAAGAAAATACAACAAAGACATTAATAAGGCGAATAAAAAGTAGGAATAATAAAACTATGTCCGAATAGAAAATATTCTGACAGTAACTTAGTAATTAGTAATGAATATATGAGAAATATTGTCTAATGGGTAGGGCACTGGACTTATTACTATTGACATATGAATAATGGACAAAATATAAAGTATAAATTTTTTGTTTTTTCGGATCCACAAATCTGAAATACCAAATCTATATCCACTTCAAAAGCCAAAAAAATTAAAATTAAATTCGAAATCCAATCCGTAATTCGAAAATCCAAACCAAAAATTCAAAGAATCGGATTTTAGTTTGGATTTCGTGTTTGCCCAAATGGGATGACTTATTCTAATTTACGGGACTTTATGTTTGTATTTCTCTTTAATCTTTTCTTCCATTTTCTTCCATAATAGCTTAATAGTTTTTTAATTGTTCTCGTAGCTTTTGACAGATAAAGATCTTTATCTTATTAAAAAATTCTCACTCAATTAAAAGGATGAAAAAAAGAGGCAAATGGTTCCTTCCTTTCTCTTCTTATCCTTATCTTCTCTCATCTCTCTTTCTATCATTCACGAGCATATCCGACGTAAAACCAAATTAGTTAAATCAGTGATTTAAACATTGTATGATTAAATTGAAAAAAAAAACTATTTACGTTTTAATAATTTTCTCACTTATTCTTCGAGAAAATTATCAGAATTTAGGCCATTCTCATAGGTAGAATTGAGGTGGGGTGAGTGGATAGCTTAAATATAAAAGTGTGAATTTACCTCAAATAATTCAAGAATTTTTTTGAGCTACTAGTAGTGCTTCTGACAAAAAGTTTGTAGGGTTTATGAGACAAAGATTTTAGTAGGTAAATTGAGGAATATATGTAGGAAATTGTCTCAATCACTTCCTTTTTTTTCTAGCTTTTCTCCTTTTTGTGTTACTAATAAAAATACTTTAGTTTTCTTTCTTCTGTTGAATCATGGCTCTACTGCTATAGCACTAGCTGTAAGATTATCAAAAACTTCACCTGCTGCAGCCTTTGTTTATTTTGTTTTTTATTTGTCAGCTTTTCCTTATCCTGCCTATCTAGTTGGAGATCATTTTATTTTTGTATGTTTTGCCAACTTTGAGTGATAAAACCTTATGTTGTTTTTGTGCATCCACTTTTATAGAAACTTTATAAGAAAATCTCTGACTATAAGATATCTTCTTGATAAAGAAAATCATAGTTTTATACCTTTTATAAAGCATGAATTCTTTTCTTTTCTGAATATTTTAATTTTTTTTTAATAAATAAAGATCTTAAATTATTTCACCTCGTATCGACCTGTATTAGGTCTTGATAAAAGGGTAATGTCTCAACTTCGAACTTAAACGACCAGTGATTGGGGCAAAAAATAAATAATAATAATTTTAACTTTTTTACGCTATCAGGTCATCAAAAGATAAATTTAAGTAGCTTTCTTGATAAGTGAAACTAATTACTTGAAAAATAAAGCAGGCAACTTAATGTAAGATAAAACTACAAAAATTCTTTACAAAGTAAGTATATATGGTTTGAATCCGAATATAATTAGCAATTAAAAAGTGAAAAATAGGGTTGAATTTAGATAATAGGAAGCCATCAATAATGGTATCTTGAAAGTGAATGCTTTTGCAAGCATAAAGAGGGGTCACCCTTTGCTTTAGGGTCTGCAGACAGGAGGGCAAACACTTTTTTATTTCTTTAAGTTTGCTTCCCTATATGTCAAAACAAAGTATAGTAATGATTAAGTTTGGTATCAAGATCATCAACAACAAAAAACATAAGAAAAAGAAAGGTAAAATAAAAGGAAAGACAACAAAAATAAAAAAGAGTTTAACTTTTGTGCACTGGCAATATACAATTTCTTACAGCATCAGGTTAAGATTACATACAACAATAGGCAGCTAGTTGTCTAAAATAATCTTGATTTGATAACATAAAGTATACAACAACAACCTACTATAACCGGTTAAAGTACACTGATATTGCACAAATTCATTGCATTATCAATGTGTTATATACAAACAAAAGTCTACTAACTAAGATTATCATATAATTTTGTCTTTATATTTCTTTCTTGCTAGGCATAAAGCTACCTAGTTTGAGCTGTGTTCTTCAGTTAAATTGGAGTCATGTGTTTGTCTATTTCTTCCATCACATGAAACATATAGAATATGATTTTGTCTTCCTCTTAGGATTAAACCCCATTCCTTTTGAATTTCTCTTACAAACATATGGTTGTTCATCACTATTCTTGGTTCCAAATAGATAACATCACAGACCAAGATTGAGACCTCTATCGAGTTCCCTTCAAGGTAATAATCTGAAACTACTCCAATTCTTGAACCCCAAAATTTTAGATTCTTGTGTTGTTTTCCTACTATTCTTCAAAGAGTCTTCTCATTATCTCTTTCCTGCATTTCTTATGTGATAATTGAGAATCTAGTTGTGTGATATATTATTCTGAGAGTGTTACAAAAATGGGAAATTGATATTAAAAGCTGATCCTTAACAGCATAAGTACAGCCAAATGTGGAAAAACCAACAACTTGATGTTGAAGTAAGATTATGTGTGTCAATAAAGGGAATGGTGTTAATAGTTTCTACTTTCTACTAAACTACTTCTCTGGAGATCATGATTTGCATAATAAAATAATGAAAACAAGAAGACATGATCATGATATTTTCAGAAATGAAATAAACCTCTCTTGACTTCAAAGCAAAAAACCAACATTTGCTACCATGAAGTTGTTTTTTCTTGAGCTTTATCACACAGAGTAGGAAGTTCTAAATTCTCATGATGAAATAAGGAGTCTTCTCTTTGAAATGTACAAACAAAATGTCATTATATGCTAGCATTAGTTAATCCTCTTTGCCTTAGAGACACAGAGGATAATATCTAAGATAGATCCTTATATATTCTGCCATTCAAGCAGAGGACGGATTCATGATTTAACTTAACAGATTCAACTTTTATGTTCTCACCATTAAACCCATTGCACTTATGCAATTATAGGTTCAAAACTTAATATTTATTGAAATTTTAGTGATTTTTTAAGTGTATTGGTATCAGCCTCTTTGCCTTTTTCTTTTGTTTGACAGGCATTTATAGTTAAACCAACTATTCCATTTAGATTACTGCATCACTTATGAGCTGCTAGCACTCTTCGGCTCAATTTTTATAGAGATTGATCAGAAGTTGACATGAGTATGAGTGAACAATTTGGTTCAGAAAGATCAAATCCATGGAACATTCACTCAAGTTCAGAACCTAGTCCTTCCCAAACACAAGTTAACAGACAAGGACAATGGAAGAACTTTGGCACATCGATGGATGCCATTTCTTTTGGTTTTGTTGCTACAGCTATCCTCATATCTATGTTTCTCATCATGGCCATCTTTGAACATCTCTTCAAGCCTAGCCCCCCCTTCTCTTCGGCTCAAGATAGTAGAAACAGTTCCTTGGAGTTGGGCTCGATTCAGAAACGTGCAAGTTCACAAACAGTAAGTTCCCCAAATGCATTTAAACAATTTGTCCCCGAAAGTGATGTTGGGAAGTTACATAAAAACTATTCACTTCTCCAATACTTGAAAGTCTGCTAGAAGTAATTCATCTAGAGTAAACACCAATTTTATACTAGTGCTTTTTTCTGTTGTTTCCCGGTATATCATGCCTATTAATCCCTTTTACTTCTTTCTCTAGAGCATCTTTTGGTTCAAACATCTTTCCCTCCACATGCTTTATAGGTCTAGAATGAGCTAACACTCAATTCAAATAGATTTTCTGCAACCATTCAAGAAAATTATGAACATGAAAAAGGCAGATGCAAAATCTAGTTATGAAGATCAAAGTACCAATATGATTAATGAATATTTTTTGTTTGCACAGGTAGAAACACCATATCCGTCAGATTACACAGTTTTGATGCCAGGACAACAGTATCCTACCTTCATTGCCAAGCCAACTCCACTGCCTTGTCCAAGGGAAGGGGTTTATTGGCCTTCCCATGGACATAGTTTCCCCTTCTCTTAATGTTTCTAAAAGAATAGTTAATTTTATCATATGTTTAAATCCTAGAAAGAATATTTATGTAATCTTAAAAAATGTCACCAATCCCATAATCTAGCACTCTGTTACCCTACTCTGACATGTAAATTAGCTGTCAGACGAAAACTGAAGTTTTGCACATTAGGAAGAAGGAAAATTTGGGTTGACGTTGGATTGATTTTGTGTAACATACTGTCTTTTCGTCTATTGACTGAGTTCCGCTTTTTAGTTTTATCTCTTCCAATATGTGAGAAGTGAGGAATGCTAGCATTATTTTATACCACTTGAGAAGGGTGCACACTCCAGAAGGCGCACTGTGCTTCGACTTGCGAATATATCAGCTAAAGTTCAGTAGGCTAAGTTTTCAGTTTTTGTTCATTTGGAGTAAGCTTCTTTTACTATGTGAAATTTTACCCATTTTTTTACCAATTGAGCTTGTGCACTTCATTCTACTTCTATCAGCTTAGTTCTAAGATTATGGCTAATGTTTTGTGCATGAGTCTGAAATGGATATCAAACCTTCACCTTATGAAAACTGCAATGTGAGAACAAAGAATAACTTCCATTGATGACCAAACAAAAAAGGAAAATCGAAATGCATTGTACCTGTGGCTTCAAATTTTTGCAAGTCATACTCAAGTTCTCATCTACCCACACAGGATTCTTGCTAGAGTTGATCTCAACCAAATAATAGTTGATTTTCCTGATTGGTTTAGCACCGAAGTCAGCAATGACGCATATATTTGAGAGAAAATAAGTTAAAATTATATTACAACCAACATTGTCAAGATTTACATTTAGCTTGAAACAAAAGAGAGAACAAACATTACAAAGTACAGAACAGTAGCCTATCCCCTTTTTAGGCACTTTCACCAGGTTTTATACAACAGGTGGTTCAACATCGAGAAAGTCAGCAACAAACTATGCTGCCACTTCGCCCTCTAGAGTTTGATTTTCTGTCTAAAGCATAAAAGAGAACCTATTCTCATTTACTCTGGTATTTCATCGTCGGGTTGTATTACAGTAAGCAAGGAATATTTGACCCTCAGACAGATCCTTCCTTTCTCAACCATAAGCCTTGCACCGGAAACAACCCAATAACCGGGAGGTTCTTGTGGTCCTCGCGTCATCTCAGTAGTATCGACAAATTTCAAGAGCTTAGGGGCTTGCACAGGAACGGGAGGACCACCAGGGTAAATGGCGGAATTTATGTTCACATCAGCTGGCTTTGGAGGTGGCTTCTGAACTGATGTAAAGTGCTGGCTAATGAGAGTTGATATCAGTCCAGATTTGCGGGCCAACCCAGGGGAACCATCCCACTCCGGGTGCTTTACCATAGTAGCTCCCATGACAGTCGAGAAACGGAGTCTCAGAAAGAGGACCTTTTTAAACCCGCAATCCCCAACTTCCAATTGTGCTCCAGTAACAATGTTAAGATCCTCATAAGATTCAACAGGAGCAGTGCAGACATGAGAAAAGTTCTTCCATTGAACTTTTTCATAGTATTTGCGATCATATGATTCTCGATGAAAATTTCCGTTTGGATCATCTTCAAGCTGGAAGACTTTAGGAAGAGATGAGAGATGCTGCAAATGGACAGCTAAGCGGTTACTCCTTTTACCTTCAAGGTACAAACGGAGTCCAGTCACTGGCCTCTTGCCAACATCAACCTGCAATGAAAAATATGAATCACATGGACGCCTAGAAAAAAGGTAATAAGCAGACTTTTCAACAGTGTTTTCCCTTCCTTCCTTTCCTGATCCCAAGCATTCGGTACCAGACCAAAAGAAACTAATGAGGCCAACTTAACTTACTTAAAACTTAAATGGAACTTAATAGAAACAGCCTTTGAAAGACTGAGAACAGTGCTGTACACTTCAAGCTGCTCCTCACCCATAATAGTTCACTGGGGCATACGTTGTTATTTAAATGAAGAACTAATGTTATAGTCTCACATCCCTTCGAGAAGATATTATTACTAGGGATCATGTGTATTAAATATATGGAGAAATACAACCAAATCCTACCGAAAAAAAATATGTCATAGTTCTCTCTAACATACCCACCAATAAATGTCTCCTGATTTATATGCCTTCAACTGTTACAAATAAATCAGAGATAATGATAAGAGATTTTTTGTGGGAAGGAAAGAAGGGGGAGAAGAAATTTTATTTGGAAGATTGGAGAAGTACAAGAACCCCTGGTTCATTTAGGGTTAGGATTTGGATTGTCCTCATTTAACATGGTGCTACTAGGGAAATAATTAGATTTGTTCTAGAGGAGAATGATTTATGGAAAAAGATAATAGCCATTCAGAAGGGAATTTCATAATAGACGGTCACGGGTGAGGTGACAAACTCTCACGGGGTGAATTTGCTAAAAAAGGATTATGAGAGGCAAGGAAAAGTTTACTAAATCTGTCGACTATATTGTCGATAATGGGAAATAGGATACACTTTAAGAAGAAGGATGCATGATCTGATAGATAACTTTGTGGGAGCATACACACCACAATATGAACAATGACGAGCTTGAAGAGTTCCTGTGGAATACTTATGATGGCTACTAAGGTGAGATGGGGAGACAAAGATGATATACTGAGGGTCGAGAGCAAAACCCTTAACTGTGAGATCACATTACACCGAGTTAGTCGAAGAACGGGAAAAACGGCAGCGGCGAAGAATATATGAAACACCAAGGCCCCAAATAAAAAGTAGCTATTCCCCTCGGTATGCAGTGTGGTATGCAATGTTAATCGCATATATCTTCAGGAAGATGACAGGATTATTTTAAGTTGGTGTTGCTGTGTAAGAAGTACAAAGAGGATATAATCTCAAACTGAGGTGTTAAAATTAAGAGAGCTCACCGTAGTGGTGTTCACATAAAGCCTGGGACCCAATAAACTAAACTGCAAAGATGCAAAATTTGAATGCCTTCTCTGAGGACCAAGCGGAAGATCACCGAAGATTGGTGCCCACTGCCTTGGCAGCTGAAATTCCAAAAACTGGTGAAGCTCTTCAATTGGTGGTTTATCTGCATAATAGACAACACTTTATATAAGGGTAAAGCATATTTCCCGGTAATCGTAATAAACACCCAAATGCAGTTAATTGACTATCAAATTCTTAGGAGCCGTCTCAAAAAAATTCATAAAAGCTTTTTGAAAAATAATGAAAAAAGAAGTTCATAAAGGAAAGGGTTTTAGATAACTGCAAATTTTTGAAGATTTATAAGACCTTTATGAGTGGAAAAAGATTTACTCTCTTCTCTTTTTATCGAAAAACTTTTTGCAAGATTTAAAAAATATTCCACTAACAAATGAGATGTTAATATTTTGAGAAAATGCAGACATTTAAATCAGCCATCATTCTTTAGGATAACTAGCACGCTCTGCACTCCTCCCTCTTACTTTGATAATATCCTATATTTGTTGAGAGTGCAAACTTATTTAAATCAGAAAGTTGCAAAATTAGCAGGAAATCAGCAGGCCGTCCTCCCTTTATCATTTGCCAATAACTATCACATGGAAATGTTACATTTGGCAATGTACATTACACATAGAACTCAAAAACTTATATTGCATAGAAGTTAGAGGCAAGAAAACAACAAATAGTGTCCTCTAACTTACAGCGCAAGTACAGATTTATAGCATGACTCAAAAATCCACTTCCTGAGATGCCATTCAACAGTGAGGTGATAGGGATGAAGGACATTGAGATCACATCAGGCTCCTGATACACACTTTGTAACCACTGATTATGCGTCAAGCCTCTGCTATCACCTCCACCCCTCCTCTTGCAAATGCTAACAGTATCCTGCCATTTCAGTAGCCAATTGACAAATTGCACAAACTTGTTTCAGAACTCTAAAGTGCAGAAAATTTAACAGACATGATGGAGACCCTATACCACATACCTCCTTATGTGTATATGAACCTGATATGTTGGGATCAGCAAACCTTAGCCGGTGCTCCCTGATCTCAAACTGAGGCAACATTTTCAAAATTAGAGACTTAGGCAATAGATTCATAATAACAGTAACACACCAATATAAACAACAACAATAACTACCCAGTAAAATTCCACATAGTGGGTCTGGGGAGGGTAATGTGTACGCAGACCTTACCCCTGCCCCGATAGGGCAGAGAGGCTGTTTCCGATAGACCCTCGGCTCAGAAAGACGGAAATAAAAAACAAGAAAAGAGAATTCATTAGTAACTCCAGTAGAAACTGTTATAGTAACAGAAGCATAAAAACCAAAAGATGAATGACATGCAATAACAGTAACCAGAGTCTGAGGCCCGGGGCTAAGATAAACAGCAAGAATAGTGTGGGTTCAACATAAACTGCAAGCCATCTAAGATCAACCGTAATCCAACCCCGCCTCATCCCCGGTATGAAGTAAGGAAAGCTCTACTACCCATATCCTACAACCCTAATGCTTGACCTCCAGGCCTTCCTATCAAGGGCCATGTCCTCGGAAATCTGCAGTCGTACCATGTCCTGCCTGATCACCTCTCCCAATACTTCTTAGGTCTCCCTCTACCTCTCCTCGTACCCACCACGGTCAACCGCTCACACCTACTCACCGGTGCACCAAGGCTTCTCCTCTACACGTGCCCGAACCACCTGAGCCTCGCTTCCCGCATCTTGTCATCCGCAGGGGCGACGCCCACCTTCTTCCAAATATCTTCATTCCTAATCTTGTCTATCCTAGTGGGCCCGCACATCCACCTCAGCATCCGCATCTCTGCTACTTTCATACTCTGGATATGGGAGTTCTTAACCGGCCAACACTCTGCCCCATACAACATGGCCGGTCTAACCACAGCTCTATAAAACTTACCTTTGAGTATCGGTGGCACTTTCTTGTCACAGAAGACTCCAGATGCAAGCCTCCATTTCATCCAGCCCGCCCCTATGCGGTGAGTGACGTCCTCGTCGATCTCTCCGTCCCCCTGAATAACCGACCCAAGGTACTTGAAGTTATCTCTCTTGGGGATGACATGTGACCCAAGCCTCACGTCCCCACCTACTTCCCTCGACTCAGCGCTAAACTTGCACTCCAGGTACTCTGTCTTAGACCTGCTCAATTTGAAACCCTTAGACTCGAGAGTCTGTCTCCAAACCTCCAATCTCTCGTCAACACCGGCCCTCGTCTCGTCAATTAAAACTATGTCATCAGCAAATAACATACACCATGGCACCTCCCCTAGAATATAGTGTGTCAAAGCATCCATCACCAAGGCAAATAAGAACGGGCTAAGCGCAGAGCCTTGGTGTAATCCCATAACAACCGGGAAATGCTCCAAGTCGCCTCCCACAGTCCTAACCTTAGTCTTAGCTCCATTATACATGTCCTTGATCGCTCTTATGTAGGCTACCGGCACGCCCTTCGCCTCAAGACATCTCCAGAGCACCTCCCTAGAAACCTTGTCATACGCTTTCTCCAAGTCAATAAACACCATGTGCAGATCCTTCTTCTTATCCCTGTACTGTTCCACCAACCTCCTAATAAGGTGGATAGCTTCCGTAGTGGAGCGGCCCGGCATGAACCCAAACTGATTGTCGGATATAGACGTCGTCTTCCTCACTCTCACCTCCACCACCCTCTCCCAGACTTTCATGGTATGGCTAAGTAACTTGATACCCCTATAATTGTTACAACACTGGATATCACCTTTGTTCTTGTACAACGGTACCACTGTACTCGACCTCCATTCCTCCGGCATCCTCTTCGTCCTAAAAATTACATTGAATAACCTAGTTAGCCATTCCAATCCTGCTCTACCCACATACTTCCAAAACTCAACCGGAATTTCATCTGGCCCGATCGCTCTACCCCTACTCATCTTACGCAAAGCCCCCACGACCTCCTCCACCTTAATGCGCCTGCAATACCTAAAATCTCGGAGACTCTCCGAATGCCCCAAGTCCCCTAGCGCTATATCCCGGTCCCCCTCCTCATTTAGAAGACCATAAAAGTACGTCTGTCATCTCTGCTTAATCTGGGACTCTCCCATCAATACTCTACCATCCTCGTCTTTGATGCACCTTACTTGGTCCAGATCCCGGGCCTTACTCTACCAATATGTAGTGAAATTTTTTCCAATAATCTAATGGTTATAAAAAAAACCCTGATTTTGAACCTGACAATATGGATTCAACTAACATCCAACTGTCTGACAAATGCACCTATAAAGTAAATCCATCTGCAGATATTAATTAAATCTGCCTATACGGAATCCCTAAATAACTGAAAGCCAGTTGCACTTGAATTAATTTTCTTTTTTTATGAAAGAAGCCAATTGCACTTAAAATATTTGTGTCAAAACATTTTTGAGTCATAAAGAAATAAGATTAACATAAAAACATAAACTTAAGATTATTTTGTTTCTGAATCCAAAGGAGCTGACCCGCCGTGAAATGCTTGTATTAAGTAATATGCTCAAAGGTAATCAGTGATCATCCTTGCTTCTACTGTAAATAGCACCTCAAAGCTGGAGAATCTAGGTTAAGAACTTCTAATACAAGTTGAAAATATTAGATAGAAGGCACCAACTAGTGTTGTTTAGATGGTCAGATGTATAAGTGCTTTAACACGTACAACTAAAATTCTAGGGTATTTCTGGGTAGTGTTGCCAAAGTAAGAAAAGAGTTGTCATCTTGATAAAAGAAGTAAGAAAAGTGTGATCAGCATATGGTTTTTGAAAGCTCCATATAAGGGTATATTTCATGTGTGTGTTAGTGTTTGTTGTGATTGTGGAAATAGGAGGGTCAGGCAAGATCCTTAACCTTCTCGTTCTGATGTGCCTGCTCAGATCCCATTCCGCCTTGTTCATTTGCACCTGAAAACCTCTTATCTGCCATTGCCTTCAAACGCTTTTGCACGTCTGCAGGGAGAAGGGAGGAGGAGTGCTGCTGTTTCATATATATTACATCCTTTCCTCCCATCTTTATACCAACAATGACATGAGTACCAAATTTTTCAATAAACCTGAAAAATGAACAAAATTTCACGACTAGTGTGATAGAGTTCTAATAGACTAGAACTGTCCAGTAAACAGTGTGTTGCTTGTACTTGACCAATTTATAAATGACACTAAAGCAGGTAGATACGAGATAGTGGCCTAACAACCAGTTGGACCAAAGCCCTCTAACCCCAATTTGTAACTTGAAGAGTTATGTGATTTTGGTAAAACTAGAATGCCTCAAGATAAAGAAAAGAATATGCAAAGAACTCAAAGGACGTTGAGGTACAGTTAATATTGAGGTGCCATTAACTGTTTCCTTTCCCTTCTGTGCATACATTTTTGTTTAGAATTTAAACGGAAACAGAGTGGTAAAAGTTTGATTAAACAGTAAGGGAAGAAATTAAAGCAAGGTCCAGATGGAGTGTGGATCTGAAGGAGCTTGTTTTTTCAATTGGACCACAAGATGTTCACACCGATGAACAACCTCCTTCAGACAGAAATCCATTGAATGGAGACTATCTTGAAATAAGAAATCAGTATTATAAATGTTTATCAGTTTAAATATGTAAAAAAATTACCTTGCTAATGCCGCAGGATCCCATGTTGATGGAACTTCCTTTTTAACATAATCGCACAACACCATTTGAGATTTTTCAAGAGCAACAGAGTATAATGTGATGAACACACCATCAAAAGCAAGGGTCTTGGTGTATGCTGCATCCTTCTGCCAAGAACCAGAAAACTCGAACATAGTATTGAAGAGCCCTGAAGGAATTTTACCAGTCACGGATACTTCCTGATTGAACTGCTCTGACATCTGCAGTTAAAACAAGGAACTTATAGATTGAGCACAAAAATAAGACTGGCAAAATTTGCAGAAAATAGCTGCTCTGCTCAACTTTTCAATAATTAACAGCCAAAAAAAGACTAGAAGTACATGTACAAAAGTGAGTTATTTTCCCATTTATGTTTACCTCTAACCATTCGCCGTGATTGAGAAACTAAAAGACAATAACATGAAGATAGCATCACCGCTCCTACTGTAAAAAATTATACATTAAAATACTCCTACTTCTTAGTATAAAATAATAACCAGCTAGCATCATAAAATACATATAAAATAGCACATCCACACAACAACCACAACAGATTCTAACCTCTTCATAGAAAAGCAAATAACATAAGAAAAACGATAGCCCTATAGCAACTTAAAGGTGTAGGGAACATGAGATTTAATGACCAAAGACAAGTAGAAACAGAAGATACCTGTTGGAAAGAAAGAACATCAGAGCGAAACCTCGTGAGTTCTCCTTTATCACATTTGATAGATTTTGACACATTAGGGATTGAAATACCACCAGGAAGCACAACCTCCCGGCCCTCGTCTTCATCAATTTCAATTAAACGCCTATTACCCGGATGACCTTTACAATACTTGAGCCTCAAGTCCAATGATATATCATATCCACATCCTATCGACTCAATCGCAACCTTAGCTGCTTCAGCAGCAGGTAACTTCAACGCCATTCGTCACAACATCATCCTAATTTCAAAAATGACCTCACTGACACAATTGTTCAAACATTACCACACATGCAACCTATATATGGAACAATGTGAAAGTCACTGCGTTTACTAGATAAGTCAAAAGACAGCTGTAACTAAAGAACTATCAAAAGTTTCGAAAACCTTATAGTATCAATCTGGAAACTTGAAAAACTCAATTCCCGAGCTGAGAAATGCAATTTTTTCTTTTTTGCATCAAATTAAATACACAAATTCAACAACAAAGCCCTAGAATCACGCCGTACACGTGCATTTTCTACGTAGATATTTAGTTCACGAAAAACCTCGGAAATAAATCGGCGAGCATTTCACTCAAGTACGGACTCGAAACCCTAGCTGAGGTGTATCGAAATAGGGAGTTGAAGATCCAAAGATTTTGCATTGACTAAAGATTGAAGCTCAGATCTAGAGAAAGAAATTCGCAGACGACGGCGAGGAATTTCCGAAGAGGATTTATTTGAGGTTAAAGAATAAAGAGGGAACAATCGCGAAATGGAAACTCTGTATTTAATTGTTTTTAGCTTTTTATGGCAATTTTATTGTATGAGAAAGAAGATTTTAATAGTGACAGGAGTAGAGTGACGACGTCAACGGGGATTCTAAGTTGACTAACAGTTTTACGGTCTTTAGACCGCCAATCAGTGAAAGCAACGTGTTTGAACTAAAGAGGGAAACTATGTTATAAAATTTAAATTACACTAAACATCCTTTAATATGACTTAATTATGCAAACATCTCTTAATTTCGAATTCGTACACTTTCACCCCCCATATCGTGAAAATTCAGCATAACTTTTAATTTGAACAAAATTTTCATTTTGCTAGGATGTTAAATGTTTAAATTTGAAAAGAAAAAAGATTGAGGCAGATCTATAGTTAATGCTATTAAATATATATAACTAAAAAATAAATCAAAATTACAATTAGAAGATCATGTGTACTTAATTACCTTATGAACGTTAGGGAAGAAACAAAGATTTGTTACAAAGTTTTCTTTACGCTTTTGATTAACAATAAATTTTTAAAAAAAATGGAAAAACATATATTTCAAAACTCTTAATAGGAAATGATCATGAATTATTTCATAAGATATGTTAATTCACAAGTAATAATTTTCTTATATTATGTGTGGCAATATTTTAAAGCCTTTGTTGTGAAAATCATAACCAAAATCATGTGGCATCCCTTCTAGAAGCCATTAGAAAGATGGCAAAATGCTTTTGTAAAGTGACAAATTTCATACGTTTTGCAATGCAAAACAAAGCTTCATGCAAATGAGGCTATAAGTAGTCACTGTCAATCTCTCCTTTTCATCATTAGCAACTTACAAGACAAAAGAAATAGTTCTATCTTCTTTCCGTCTTGTACATCATTCTCCTTCTAATCTTATTCTATATATTTTAATTGGCATAAGATATTAGTTGTTTTTTACTTCCAACTAGCTGGGTTTGTAATTTAATATTTTGTTGATTCATGTATCCTCTAAATAAAATAGAGGTAAGATTATTTAATTCCGAGGAAATATTTCACACTGCTGAAATAGTTTCTTAGGACAATGCCCAGCACGACTCAAGTCAATACAAATAATATTATAGCAGTGTTATNGTAAAATTAAATCCGGATAAATTTAAGATGCTAATTTCGAAAAAAAAAAACACAAACCGAAATAGAACACATACAAATCAAATAATATGCATTATTATAAAAAGGTTTCAACTTAAAATAAATCGAAATACCTCGATTTAGAATTTTTGGAAAGCAAATAGCTCGAAATTTTGACTCCGAAAGCGTGAATCAACAATAACAAGAAGCTCTACTCGAGTGTGGGACCTACGTTCTTCAAATTTTATGTGTCGGGGGGACCCAAATTTTTTTTTTTTTAATAATGGCGGACAGTGGGGGACCAGGTTTTTGGATAGGGGATTAGAATAATGGTGAAGAAGAAGACGAGTGAAGAAGATGGAGGGTTTTTTATTGAGGATATAACGCCAGGTTTTCTGGCGCTATATCACTGTGTCAGTGTATAACGCCAGAAAACCTGGCGCTATACCACTGTGACAGTGTATAACGCCAGAAAACCTGGCGCTATACATTAACGGTGCAGTTACCGTTATTATATAGCGCCAGGTTTTGTGGCGTTATATATATTATGGTCACCTTTTTTTTTTACACTTAATTCTGCATTGATCCAAATTTTGATAAATTCACTCTTCCCAACTTTCCAACTTAAAATTTATTCTATGGTCGAACTTCAAATTTCAACAATTTCACATTTAATAAGCATTCCCAAATATCTGATTTAATATTTCATTTATAATAATAAATAATTATTTCATAATATTGTATTAGCTTCTCTATTTCAACAAATTAATCAAGTTCTGATGTATTGGAGAAGGGGGGAAAAGGCAATCTTTTGGTAAGGAAGATGGGATTGTGGGAGGAGAGAAAAGTATTAGGGGAAATTAAGACAGCAATGAAAAGGGAAAAAACTCTTGGAGTTTTATTTTAAAACTAAATATATATATATTAAGAAATTAAATTTTTTGAGATGGTTTAAGATAATGATGGTGGTGGATGGACGAAGTACCCTACATTGTTTGTTAAACAACAACATGACATGTGCTTAGACAAGTATAAGGTGTTTTTTTCTTGCTTTACGGGTTGGATTTTGAAGCATTTTTCCTTCTTTTGGCAAACATATGGAGTAACTTACAAGCTTTAAGAGTTAACTTGGTCAGAATCGTCCAGCGAACCAAGACAATTTCAAGCATAAATCCATTTGCATGTTGGAAGAATCATTAGGCCAAAATTTCACGGTATAGCCAATTTTCGGATTGGTCAATCAAAAATAACCAGCGTTTACCAAGTCAATGAAAAATAGCCACCGTTTTGCTGCAATAGAGACCGGTCCAGCATAATATACTGGAGTTCGGTGCACTTGTGTATGAACTCCAGCATATTATGCTGGACCGGTATACTTTGCTGGCTCCAGTATAATATATCCAGGTTTTGAATAGTGTTTTCGATTACTTTTGAAATTGGGTTATTTTTGAACGACCAGTTGTAAATCTGACTATTTTTAAAAATCACCCAAAAAAAAAAAAAGATTCAAAAAAGTGTTCCCAGCCACCACCATGGGAAGAAGGAGAAGGGCTAGAGAATGGAAAAGACGAAAATGAGAATTGTGTACATAAGAAATTAGAACAAGTTCAGTTTCACCTAGGTATTTGTACAATTAACACGTGGAAAACTACTAAATCAAGACTAATTTACCATAATATAGTAAAATCATCAAACACCTTGCCTACTGTACTCCCATAGAGGCTGCTACACAATTATTCACATGCATGTGCAGAATCGGTACAGAGAAGATGAAGAAAGACCAACAAAAAGTCATTAAAATATCTATTCAAAACTTGATAAAAAAGACATTCATTCAGGAACGGTGAAGAGAAGCATAAAAATTAATAATGCAAAAACAGATTATCTGAACCAACAACCAACATCTCAGGAATATTTCTTAATTAGGTCTTCTTGATATGTTCATAGTATGCAATTAATTAGAAACTATGTCGCTCTTAGAATACCCAAAACATAAAAGAGAAAAAAACAAAATCAATCAGAAATAATACGCAAAGAGGAAGAAGAAGAAGAACAACAAAACTCACTATATAGAGTGGGGAAAGAAAGCAATAAAGCGAGAACTGGAAATGGGGGGGATGGGAAAGAAGAACCCAAGTGAAGCAAAATCTAAAGACACGTGGTGTCCAAAGTTGGACACATGGAAATCTATAAGTCAGTATTTTACCAAAATACCACCATATTAGAATTGACATTTACGGAAGTATCCTTGGTCGTACCAAGGGATTCTCTTATTATAAAATAAACTAGTAGTAACTAGTAAAAGAGCGTGCAAGTTTAGCTCTAGAAATTCTATATAATACAAAAAGTAAATAAAATAAGAATAGCATACTACAGCTAACACGTCAAATTGTAGAGATTATAATAAAATAAGAAAAATAGATAATATACTATAGTTAATTAGCTTTACATAATAATTTACCTACAAAAAATGTTAAATTGAGTTAATGAATCTAATTTGAAACAAAAAGGTGACATACTGCAGTTACACAAAATGTTAGAGTGAGTTAATGAATCTAAAATAAAATATAAAGGTAAGATACACTACTAGAAATCCGGTAAAAAGCGACCACAAAAAGCGACCAAAAAGCGACCAAACATGCCTGGTCGCTATATTGCTGGTCCCTTTATTTTAGGGACCAAAGTTGGTCGCTAATTAGCGACCAACTTTGGTCTCTAAGGTAAAAGGACCAAATATTCCGGGTATTGACTATAGCGACCAACTTTGGTCGCTTTATTATTTTAATAATATAATTTTGGCGACNGACTTATTTTTCTGTAAATAGAGAAACTGAATTATTATCCTTGATTCATACTGATTTAGACGATCTAAAGCAGACCATGACATGAGGTGGTAAAAGATATTATGTTACTTTTATTGATGGTTTTTCTAGATTTACTAAGTTGTATTTGCTTAGAAATAAAGATGATGCTTTTTAATGCTTTTATTCTTATAAAACTGAGGTTGAAATCAACTTAGTAGAAAAAACAAGAAAATAGATCTGATAGAGGTGGAGAATATTTGTCTTTGAATGATTTTTGTGAAAAAAGGAAATAATTCATGAAGTAACTCCGTCTAATTCACCTGAATCAAATGGAGTAGCTGAAAGGAAAAATAGAACATTGAAAGAGATGATGAACTCTATGTTAGTTAGTTTTAATGCACCTGGCAATTTGTGGGGTGAAGCTATATTATCTACATGTCACTTATAAAATAGAATACCACATAGAAGAACTGGCAAAACTCCGTATGAATTGTGGAAGGGTTATAAACCTAATTTGAAATATTTAAAATTGTCACGACCCAAAAATCCCTCCGAAGGAGTCGTGATGGCACCTAGTCTCTAAACTAGGTAAGCCTAACATTTACGGAGATAACACTTATATTTGCTAAATTCAAATTAAATGACCCTTAGCAAATTACAATTCTCAAAACCGGTGGTACAAGTCATAAGCCTTTCTAAGAGTAGTTACACAAAATACATACATCACTTTTCCGAAACAAGAGGAACAAATGAAAATAAGTACAAATGAAGGTGACTACGAGGCCTGCGAACGCTGCAACAGGTTTACCTTGAGTTCAATAGAACTAACACATTAAGCTTACAAAACTAAGTTAACGCTTATTACAAGCCCATTCGAAAACTGGTTCTATTGTCTAGTTCAAACTTCAAAGTATATAAAGTACTCAAGGAGTGTTCTTTCAGCATCCTCGTCCGAAAGTTGGATTGCCTCGCCTGACTCATTAGGTGACTGACTGCGTATGAATTGCTCCACATCAGCTGTGAAGCGAACCTATAAGAAAGTCCAACCCCTTCTACAAAATCCTCCCGCAATCCTAAATTTCAATTCATATCCACAAAAGTTCAATTCATATCCTAAAGGCTCAATTCATACACAAAAATTTCAATTCATATCCTAAAGGTTCAAC